GTCAGTGTTGTCAGAATTGCTTTCATCCAACTTTGTAATAGAATTCACAGATTCACATGTGACCCGTTTTCGGATGATAACATTTGTTGTTTTCTCCCCAAACTTTAAAGGGCAATATATGTACAGGATATATAGGATATAATAAAAAGGATATCCATTGTTTAAAAGGACAATTACAAACAACGGAAGAAAAGCCTAATAGGTAGTATTCGACACCGAATAACATTGTTTTAGGACCACGGTCGTTGGGGACGAGTGCAGCTAAGGGTTTTCACCATTTTTACAAAAAGGGCGACATTAGCTGACTTATCTCTTTGCTTCTTAAGTTAAAAAAAAAATTGTGATTCAATATATTAAAAAACAAAAAAAAATTTTCATTGTGTTCGTTGGCACCATTAACAATTTTAGCAAAATTAGTTATTCAAAAGCCAATGCATATCTGCAGTTGGATGAATGCATTTATTAAAAAAAACAAAACCAATAGAAGCTATTAGATTACAAAATAGACTCGAGAATTCACGAGTGACAAATAGAAATGCATGGAATTGCATATGCATCTGAGTTAGCGTATGTATCAAAATTGTTGATGCAGTTACGGCAATCATATTGACAAAACCTGAAATATTTGCATGGATTAACTCAAAACAAGAGAGAACGCTATAGTCGGGTGCACCGACTATCAGATACCCGTTACTCAGGTAAAGGGAGTGCGAGGGAGATGGAGATAGAAACTTTGATCACGCATAACTTTTTAACGAATGGTATTGATAGGTATTGATAAACACAATAAAACTGCATTTTTACTTTTCCGAAATATTTAAATTTTTAAAATCGTATATAAGCGATTGTGGGCGTTAAAGAGGGCGTGGCACCTTTTTGAAACAAACTTGCGCTGCGTAGGAACTCCTAGAATCTGCATGCAAAATGCCAATCTTCTAGCTTTTATATCTCAGCGTTCATACGGACGGACAGACAGACGGACAGACGGACAGACGGACAGACGGACAGACGGACATGGCTATATCGACTTGGCTAGTGACCCTGATCAAGAATATATATACTTTATACGGTCGGAAACGCTTCCTTCTATTACATACTTGTGCACGAATACAATATACCCTTTTACTCTACGAGTAACGGGTATAAAAATATAAAACTATGAAGGAATAAAGGCAAGTTATGGTAAAATAAATTGGATCAAAGGAAAATGGAACAAGAAGTGTACTTGGTTCAGTAATTTGAAAAATTTATCAGAGTAGAAGCTTATTTACTATAATTGATACATTTTTGTCAGAAAGGAACTTCATCAGGAAATGAAAACTTAATCAGTGGAAAAACTGGAAACAGCTGCATCAACTTATCGTTGTCGTTGTAAATTGACTCCATTACACCTAAGATATAACATTTTAAGAGTCGCACGAAGATTAGACCTTATTATTAGATAATAGGCCTAAAAACAGCTCACGTTGTACCAGATTTCGTCAGCAAGTTAAAAAGAGAGAAACTATGTCACATGCATTTACTTATTCAGGAGTGGATTACGCCAAAGTCATACGAGAAGAGCACAAAAATCATACAAAGGAATATATAGATACCGATTCAAATTTTGTTGGAGCAAAACATGGGTTTTTGGAGCAGCATCGAAATTGAACTTAATAACTTACCACAACTTTTAACTGAGCTAAGGAAAATAAAAAAGTAGTGTAGCACACCAAAAACTTATGACATAAAAATTTAAAAAAAACAACATTTTAGATAAAAAAAGCGGGATATACGACTATTGTTTCTACTACACATAAAATTTGGAAAAAATGTATATTGATAACTTTTACACTTACACAAAGAACAACAAGGAGAATAGGGCAAAAAAATGAAATCATCGGATATTAATCCACAACGCTTGCAGCTTCCTACAAAATATCAGCTAGGCGCATTATGATATATCTTTTATTATATTATAAGTACACACATATAACGCCATTTCGACAATGCGGTCTACGAAACCGAATTTCTCAGGGTAAACGCTATAATAATGGAGAACAAAAGTGATATATAACCGAGAATAGTCACATAATCAAAGAGCTACAACTTCTTGAGACCTGGATATGGGCTCAGCAGGTGCAAGTCTACATAGAAATGTAAATAAAGGAAGCAAAACATTGGCTTTAGAGATATTTAAGGATCTGCAATTGGCAGATACACTCTTCAACACAACAGAACTGGTATACATTCTATTGAGCAGTGAACATTTTCGTTTGTATGTAAAGGGAGGAAGCTATAAGACAAAAAGGGCAATCTTATAGCAATTTCATCGGTTTTAAGCCGGTTTCCCACTCAAGCAAAGGTACAACAATGGCATCTCGTCAGCGGTTTTGAAACTGGCAAATTTTTAAAGAAGCACATGAACCGGAGAATAAACACGCTTTCTACAAGCCCTACTATTCTGCGAGATCTATTGTGTGCCTTCGCCTTAGATTGTACGTCTGGAGAGATAATCTGAACGATTCAATTAAGGGGGTACCGTATTTAAAATTTTGATTTTATTTTCTGAATGCACAACATTTAAAGAATCTTGCAATTTTCAAAGTCGGTGCACACGATCCTGCAAAATCTACTAGAATAATCGTTTGAAATTTTGCACAGTACTTCGTTACTAAACTCCTCAGGTAACGCCGTCGAGTTTTTTTTGCTTTTGGGAAATTTTTCGTTGTTTTCGATGTTTATGACTTACAAGTGAAAAAAAATTAAAAAAAAATCTTGACAGCGTTACCTAAGGAAATAATGACTATTGATTTTATCAATTCAGATGATTCTGTGATTAGTTACGATGTGCACCGAAAACCACTTTTTTTTTCTAAATGCCGCCGAAGATTCCCTATATCTCACTCACTTTTCAATATTTTTGGATGCCAATTTTTGCACATATTGTTTAAGTGTTTTATTATCACATGGAACAAAAATTTTACTGAGACTATTCGTATTGCCAATAAATATTCGTAAGAAAAGATTTTGCAGCGTATTAACCATACATAACAAAACATATTTGAATTTAAAGAGTAGCTTTTCATATCGTATTAACAAAATTTGGACAAACAAAATAATGTAAAAATAATGTTTTTAAATTAAAGTTAAATTTTAAATAAGAATAATTTTAATTTTTAATGTAAATTTCCCAATTTTTAATATTAAATTAATTAATTGTTCTGTCAATTCGGTAAGAAATTTGTAAGCCAAAAAAAAAGAAATCAAAGGGTAGTTATACATTTTCTTATAAATTTATTTTATGAAGACTTATTGGCCGTTTAAAGCTTAAGGAAAAAAGTAATTTCTTTCAGTTTTAATATACATGGGGCGTAGAATTGTTATTTTCCGTGACCTCTTACAACTATGACATAATGCCAATATTACATTTAAAATATTAGAGTAGGTAATAGTAATATAAATAAATGAAAATGATTCACACGGTAACTACGAGGATCAAATACGGTGCTTTTGACGGTAGATGCTCTATGTGCCAGCCCAAACCATTTAAGGAGGGGGTTTGGTATTTACATTTTTTTGCCTTTTTTTATATTGTTTTCTGAATGAACAACATTTGAAGAATATTGCGTTAAAATTTTACATTGATCCAAGTAAAACTTCCGAAGTTATGGGCAGTTGAACGTAGGTGAGTTAGATCGTTTTGTATTCGATTTTTGGGTGCCCAAAACTTTAAAATGCTCTCCTGAAAAGTTGCCATTTTTAAGTCAGTGAGCACGATCTTGCTGGACGAATCGCTTTGAAATTTTGCACACTATTTCTGTACCTAAAACCGCAGGTAATGACGTCGAGAGTTTTTTTAAATGAGTATTTTTCATTTTATAATAACTAATATATCGAATTTTTAGGCTAAAATCACGTTTTTGACTTCAAAGTGTTACCAAAAATCCGAAAATTGAATACAAAAAGAACTCAGCGTAGTTACCTTTAGAAACATCTTAACTAGTAAACAATTTTTAATCCAGTAACGAGTTATGCTATTCACCGCAAAACCTTTTTTCCTGGAGGCGCCTACGGAGCTTGGGTGCAAACGGCTCATTTATTTTTATACCCTTGCAGAGGGTATTATAATTTTGGTCAAAAGTGTGCAACGCAGTGAAGGAGACATCTCCGACCCTATAAAGTATATATATTCTTGATCAGGATTACCTCCTGAGTTGATATAGCCATGTCCGTCTGTCCGTCTGTCTGTTTCTACGCGAACTAGTCTCTCAGTTTTAAAGATATCGAATTCAAACTTTGCACAGGAAGTTGGGACTTTCTATGGGTTTTACATTTGGCCAATCAATACGACGTACCAAATTTCATAAGGATTGGCCGACTATATCTTATAGCTGCCATATAACTGACTGATCGGGAATGCCATAACTTTGGTGTTTGTTAAGTTAGGAAGTTGGGACTTTCTATGGGTTTTATTTTTGCCCAATCAATCCGACATATCAAATTTCATAAGGATCGGCCGACTATATTTTATAGCTGCCATATACATAACTGAACGATTGGAAATGCCATAACTTTGGTGTTTTTAAAGTTAGGAAGTTGGGATTTTTTATGAGTATTAAGAATGCATCATATGAATAATTTTGGAGAATATAATTTGCAGAATATTCTGCAAGGGTATTTCAACTTCGGCTCCGCCCGAAGTTAGCTTTCCTTTCTTGTTTTTTTTATGATAATTTGTGAAAACATAGTTTAAATGTTGTACTTTGATATGCTTTTTTTGGCCGAATTAACCATATCCAACTTAAAAAAAATTTAAATTAAAACAAACCTATTTTCTAATAAAAGAAGTAGGTTTCTCCATCTGGCAAGAAAAATTATTAATATTTACTTGTACAATCATTTACAAGTTAAGTTTCTTGCTGAAAACTGATCTTAAAAATGTGTTTTTAAGTGCCTAGATTTTGTTTAAATTAAATAAATTAAATAAAAGTTGTAAATCGGTTTTATTTATATTTTAGATGAGTTCCGCAGTAAGGTGGCTTGCCACAGTGATGTTGCTCAACTAGAGTGTAATCCGTACTCCCGGATAGCCATATATAGTGCCAGCTTTGGAAGAACCGAGTACGAGAGCATTCAGTGCCCCCAACCACAAGGCGTTCGTGAAGAAAGTAAGTTAGGGTTATTGCAAATTATCACATTTGTTGGCCAAAATAAATAACTCTTTACTTTAAAAGTCCTTAAGACTTTTACAACTCGTATTTGCTAAAATGTTCAAATTAGGCAATGGTTAGATGGTCTGTTCAAATTCTTCAAATTATCATATAATTATTTCTGACTTATTTTATTATTTTTTATTCAAAAAATAAAATTTCAGGAAAAGTGATTTATTTCATAACTAAATATTAAAATTGGTAGTTTTAGACTGTTTACAGAAACACTTCAAAAATGTCACTCAAACGAAAACCAAAGCTATTTTCGGCAATCCGACATTTTTATACCTTCACATCCATACCGAAAATTGATGAATGAGTTTGAAAATAAATTTACCGATCGGCGAATAATACTTATAATAAATATGTCAGTTATATAATAGATAAAGGGTGTAAAAATCCGATATGAACTATGCTCAAGTTGTCAAACCATAAGACAAAAATATCGAGGTATACGAATTATTTTACAAAAACCAACCAATTTAACTTCAGCTGTAAGACCTATGTCAACGTATATTAGCTACATGATATTGTCATCATTTTTATTGATATAGCGGAAAACATTATATAAGACAAATTTTTAAAAAATGAGCAATCGTTCCTCGTTAGTAACATATTTTTAAAGTATATGAACCGAAATCAGATCCAATAATACGGGAAATAAACTTCTACTTCTTCAATTTCTATTCTTCTATTTCTATTTTTGCCAATTGCTTTAATAGCTAAACTAAAACAGTATTTCTAAAATTGCTCAGAAAATACTATATTTTGGAGTGTAAACGGACAGACGGACGGACGGAGATGCCTAGATCGACATGCCCTATTTTAAATTATAAATATGCTTTCCTTAATAATATCGTTCCACTTTAAACATCTTGTTTATAGTTAAAAGCGATTCGTTAGAAAGTTATAACAAAGATATTCTTTTATCGACTTTTAAGAAGACGTTTTCGCCAAAAAAAGATTTTATTCGCCATAGCGGTTAATCGATCTCATATTTGTGACACTAAATTTGCATCGTAATGTTTGCCTTCAGCGTGCCTGGCCTCGTTTGCCACAGAGACCGTAATGCAAATTTGCCATGGCCGGCGGAGATGCAACCTGGCTGCAGACGCGAACACTTTTGGTACCCCTTGCCAACCCAATTCTCGGATGTACTTGAAAGTTGTTTATACATGCGGTAAGTGAAAAATCGAGGCCCGGAACCGAACAGTGTACTTTGCAAGATAAATGTCGAATGCATTTTAAATTATGTACTTCACATAAACTCCGTCTAATCTTCTTTTTGCGCATGTATAGTTCCAAAGCAAGTTCTAAAGGACAGCAAGGATTCGGAAAAGGAGCCTGACGAAGCTGAGGATTTTGAGGGCGGAATGAATGACCTTTATGACGATGAGCTGATTTATAAGGAGTCCGAGGCGATTCCAAAGCTGTATAGCAACACAACAACCCCAGGACGCCGCAACGGCACCAGCGGGCTGGGGTCAGGAACCGATAACCCGACGAGCAATCAGACCATGACAAACAACTCTTTGGTCACAGATGTCGATAGCAGTGGCGTGAATCCTGTGATGACACACAGTGCTGACTTGAGTCTGGAAGGTGATTAATTTATGACTATCAAACTTTCGTTCCTTTTTTTGCTGAAAAGCGGGTTCTTAGTTTTCAAGTGTGAAAATTGATTTTTAAATTCAGTGCTATTTTAAAACAGTAAACAAATAAAAGTCGAGGGTGTTGTTTACCGACTTAAACATTATTTTTATTATTGTATACAGTCTTTTATTTTGAGATTTTCTTAATGATTGTCCTAATGATTGTCCCAATGATTGTCTTTAAGATGTAAAAATTTTTGATATCTTTTTCTCACTATTTAGAGTTGTTGAAGAAGAAGCAGTGTAATGCCTATTAGTGATTTCTACCAGGTTTCTTTAAACTTAATTTTATAGGGTTTATTCTTCGCGGTAAGGACAATATTCTTAGCTATCGGATATTCTTAGTTTACATATTTTCTTTAAACTGTAATTTATTGTAATTTTTAAAAACTTGTTTGTTTCAACAGAGGACCAAGAGCGTCTTTATTTGTATCTGCTTGCGTTGGGCTCACTCGGAGTGCTCTTCTGCATAGTAATTATCGCCACTAGGTTAGTGCTTCAAAAGCGTCGCGATCTAAATACTGACACGCACTCAAGCTCTTCGCTCAAAGGAAGAGCAAGAGCAGGAGCATTAGTTGAGGAGACAATTATTTCGAGCGGATTCAATGACACGATTTCCGAAATAGACGCCGATATTGACATGAAAACTTCGCAGCCTGTGCCCTTCGTGTCTAAGAACGAGGTAAGTAGTTTTTAATAAGGTCGTTCCGCTACCCACCATCTTACCTGCCCCATGCAGAATTATTTGACATACGCGCCAGCAGGCAGTCTGTATGCAGGCTTATCCCCTAACCAACATACCTCAGTTGCTAGCCCGGGATCCACAGCCGGGATAATGGCAAATCCGCTCTTGGTGGGGACTCGTCAGTCACCCGACCTCATTGGCATTACCCCGGGTCCCTTTGTGACCACGAATATCGCCAGTACAGGCGATCAGGGTACGATGGCGGGCATTTTGACGTCAGCTATTGTGATTGGAGCCAAAGCCCCCAGTAGCAGTGCCATAAGTAAGTAATCCATCCCATTTTACCAATGATTCCAATATTTTTCTCCCTCGCAAGGCACCATGGTACCCATAACTTCGCTGGCTCAGTATACGTCGGCGCCGACAATCAGAGGCAGGTATTTAATTAACGCCGACACCATGGGCGTGCTTCATCGGCCAAGTAACACGCCGACCCCCCGACCTCGCTAGCCGGGAGCTCGCCAGTACATCCGCCTCAATCGGTTCCATTACCCCCGCCGCTGGGTATGACTGTGACTCCACAGAGCCATGTGTCCATGCCTATTGGGGGATCATCGACCTTGCGGCGCGCCAAGCCGCCCATGTTACATCCGCAGCTTTCATACGACGGCACTGCTCCACGCACTCTCTCCACAGGCGTGGCCGTTGGCTCACAGTTCTACTACGGATGACAAAGCACACTAGACTGCGAGCCCCATGTGTACACAACAGCTTTGGGTGTGGGAATAGGCGTGACTCCGTCAATTTCCAGTACCCAAGGGTCGTTCGATGCGGCAGATCGAGTAAGCGCAGTAGACGGATTGACTACATCTTAGCCAATGGCGCCAGCAGATCCAAACTGATCTACGTTCCTGGACAATTGTGTGCTAACTGCAGGGCGCATTCCCTAGAAATGTCGTTTGGGATTTCCCTCACCAGCTAAACCCATATCTAAAGTAAAGTAGGCGTCCATCTGATGCACTGCCTTTGAATTGGTCAGAAAAACATGGAAGCTGTTCTGAACATGTACGGGAAACCGTGAAATGTAATTAGCTAATGAATATATTTCATTTTGGGATAATTTTCAGATAATACTATAGGATAATAGAAATTGGGATTATCTGGGCTACATAAATAGGTTCCCTTTTCGCCAGCGTGACCACTACTAAAATGTATGTTTAAAATATTTGTTCGTAAAATTGGTTGTATTATACATGACAGTAAATTGCGATATCAAAATATACGGGCAAAAATAATCGTACACATATTGTCGATCAGTAGGCTAAATTAGATAAATTGCTCCTTATCATGTAATGTTAGTTTTTGGGCTTTAGTATATTAGTAGTTTATAAATTAGTTTACATTGGGACTCAACCGCAAGTTTAAATTCGAATCATACCACCCAGTGACTTGCAACTCTCATGTCGGTGTATTACGTCCTTTGTTGAATATGTGCAAATTTAAAATGTAAAAAGTACTTTTTGTTAATTACTTGTATATATCTTAAATACGTTGAGCTGTCCGCAGCTCTGAGCATATAAACAAAAAACATTTATATTATGTTGATCTACTCGTGATTTTTGGTTACTGTAAAGTGCCTTCCTAATTAGCCTTTAAGTGTGTTCTTTATGTGTACTTAAAACCTAGAACCATCGTCTGAAATATAAAAAACCGGTACCCAGATAAATACGAACAATACATTGTATAGTAATATTTTCATTGAAACATTGTAAATAAATACTGTAGTAGTCAAAATATTCTCATAATAGCAAACCCACAATTACAGGAACAGTTATCTGCAAATTATTGGAATGTTGATAGTGGAATTTCAAAATTGTAAAAATATGTATAGTTGCAAGGGAAAAGGACAAATTTTTTAAGGACATTCAAGATTCCCAATATAACGCTATTAATCAAGTGTATATACTATTTATTTTAGGTCAGACTTAAGATTTAGGCTAATTCATAAAAGACAACTGGTATTTGTATATCAAAAATGTTAAGGAAAATGAAAAATAAACCAACTAAATCATGAAAAATGCATGCTGGCACATAATTAACCAAGTAAATTCCATGATGGATATGGCTACGTCTTGCTCGTTAAATATGTAAAACTCTTAAAAAGAAATTAAAGGAAGGATATGTAGAATAAGTTTACATGGTAGGTAAACTGCAAAAAGCTCTTAGTTGTCTCTTTTCCTTATTTATTATTAAGTATTGTAAATTTTATACGATTTATTTTAATGAAATAAATAAATTATGTATTATTATTCCGAATACAAGTTTTATTATTTGGGTACCTATTTCAGATTTTAGAAAATTCTTAAAGGTTATATGTTTTCATTGAAAATGTTATTGGTTTTTCTTTCTGGTTTCTTAATTGGTAAGTACTCTTCACATCGTCTTCAGGAGAAGTTATGTGAAATTTCATTACGGCATGAATTGTATTCATTAACCGTTACTATGTTGTTAAGCTTTTTATGTTTTGACTGACAACTAGACTGGTGAGTAGTTTATGATTGAGGGTGCGCTTAACAACAGCGAAGAAGGCGGAAGGGGAAAGTTGAAAGATCCGCTAATGCGCGCATGCCAAGGTGGCCTGCCAAGGGCACCGAGGTAAAATTGTAATTGGAGGACTTTGGACTGCAAAGAAGAGGCGCCGTGAATTAACGGGATATCGGTGAACCTTGGACCCGGTAGAGTGATCGGAGGCAGCAGAAATAATGGGGCACAGGCCTATATAAGACGGGGATACGGAACAGGGATCAAGGATCACATGGACATAGACATTCCGGATTGGTGTTAATAGACTTAGGGGTTGCGTTGGAGTGGTACACGCTTGAATCAGGTGTCAAGCCAGGTGTTGAACCAGGCGTTGAACAATGTGTTTAACAAGGTGTTTAAAAAACCGGTAAAAAAAGGACAGGTCTTAAGCCAGTTGCCGAGCCAGGTGTTATACCGAGCCAAAGAAACTTAAGCTTAACATTGGTCATGAGAGGCTAAAGTGGTTAAATAGTATAGAGCGTTCGTCCGGAAGAATTGCTTGTTGGCTCACACAGATTTCACAGGATTTCGTTGGTCCACTACCTGTATCAAAGCACGGTTGTCGACCGATTCTACTAGATAATACCGATGGACGGGTTGTCAAAGGTTATAATGGCAGACACCGGAAAGCAATTTACAAGCAGATTGTTCTTCGAGGACTGCACCAGTTGACAACCCCTTGTACGCCATAGAAGATTAAAACGGAGAAGGCTTCTGTTAAGACGATGATTACTCAGTTCTCAGTTGACAACCCCTTGTGCGCCGTAGGAGATTAAAATAAGGAAGGCTTCTGTTCGGTAAAGACAATGATTACTCAGTTCTCAGGGGCAGATCAGACCAGATCTACTAACTTGCAGTAAACACGAGTATAGCCGACATTCTCCAGCATTTATATTGTAAGATATTTATCCACGTCTGCGCTATACAACGAGCCAAAACGGAACAGGAAGAAAAACTTACTCGCTTATTATGATCTTGATAAGGCAATATTTACCTTTAGATAATTGACAGCCCAAATTACGGTCCTCAATCGTAGTGTATTAAGGGGGTCTTCTAGTCTTAGGGCTTGAATTTCAAGCTTTTCTTTAACAATTAGTAAAAAAAAAGCAATAGATATTTTTACTATCCGTTTTTTTATTATTTGTTTATTAAACTTAAAGGAGTACATAAAATAAATTTAAAAAAAAATTGTTTTCATTTAGTTATTCGTTATTGAAGAAGAGGGAAAAAAAGAGGTCGTGCCCTCGTCGCCATCATTTCTATGCTTGTCGTTTTTTGAAAAAGAAAACAATGATAGATTCTTATCTTTTTCATGAAATGGCGGCTACTCAAAGAAAAAAGTCGATTTGTTCACTAATTTTTCAATTTTGTCGGACTTTTAAAAATATTATAAAATTTAAAATTTGTATTTTTTGTTGGTTCCGGCGATAGCGATATATTTAAAGAATATTCATGCCAAATTTCAAGTAAATCGACTGATTAGATCTTGAGATATAGTGGCGACCGCATCAAAAAAAAGTAGTTTCGAGAAAAACGCGTTAAAAGTTTTACGTTAAGTTTCGGGCAGCGTAACTGATAGAATATTACTTATAAATTATATTCCCTTAATCAGCTATCCCAGCTTCATACAATGAGCTTCAAACGATTAGTGTAGTATACTGAGAATAAGGGTATTGTTATAGAAAGAAGGAGAGAAAGTTATTCATAGTAAGGTAGCCCGGGCTTCCAGCCATTTATTGTTCCGGTCGTTCGCTCAACCGGTCTAGTGGCCACGTCACTAAAGCGGCTATAACTTTGAAAATAATTTGAGTTTTGAAAAATCCTTTTAGGGAGATATTTTTGAATATCAAAACTATCGAATTATTTTCGATTTTCTCAAATTTCTAGGCTAGAAGACCCCCTTAATATGGTCCATTCCGAGGTGCCAGCATGAGGGCTGAGTCTATAGATGAGCAGCAAATCCACGTCGGGGTTACCAAATGTTTGGCCAATCGCGAACGATTCGTGTTTGACTCAAAATAGTTGATCTTATAGTGGTCAACGATTATTCTCGGGTCACAAGATATCGCTTTTCGAAATTGTTAGTGTGTAGCATATTAAATGGCCGACACTATAGCGTCGGGTTTAAAATGGTGGGTCTTTTTAATAGCGATATTGCTTCAGGTTGGTCGTCCGAACTGCCAACTGTAACCTTAACAGGTAATCGTTGGGGCATCTGAAAACACGGTGACAACCTCTGATTTAGATGAGTATGTTTTTTATTTTAACATGCTAGTTTATTTCGGACGTTGATGCACTATGATCAGCGCAAACAAGTGGCCCTTACGGCAACAAGCAGTGCTTGTAACGCTCGGAGCCCTATTCCCAAATGGGCGTAAAAAACGAGATTGCGAAGAATGAAAAAGGAAACGGACAGAATAAAATTAGAATGCATACGAAACAAAATACTAATACTAATTTTGTGCTAAATAAGATAAAATTAATAATTTTAAGATTGGCAAGGAGTCAGTAGTAGAAATAGTATGGTATAGTCTATTATAGTCACTACACAGTACTCTAAAAGGTTCATGCATATCAAAGTTTAATCTACAATGATGTAAAATTAGAGGAATAAAGTTCCTGGTAATTCTATTAGGCACAGAGAAGTTTAGGCGACCCAGTAACTCGGGACTTTCCACATCCCCGTGAATAAGTTTAAGAAGTGCCAAGCATCGTTCTACGGTTTAATAAGGATGGTAGATTAATTAGAAGAAGTATACTGAATAGGATAAGGCCCCGTAGAGCAAATAATGAAAAGTTCTTTTGCACTGACTCTATCCGGTCTATATGTACACCATTCTGAGGACTCCGAACTATTGAACAGTATCGATTGGCCTAATAAAAGTTTGCCACGCCCACTCTAACGCCCAAAAACCCATTAAACGCTTAAGCCTGGCTAGCGCCTACATTTCCGCCTTTCATGGCGCCATCTAACGGATCACTTTGGAACAGCTGGCCAAGGTGCTCAACAGAGTCAACGTTAATTCTCGATAAGGATTTCTATTAAAGGAAATTGCGATGGTTTTCATTTGTCAATACCGAACTATATCCCAAGAACTATGCAAATCAAATCATGTTAGCCAAATTGGAGGTCTGAGTCAAACAATGGCGTATGTGTGTATGTATGTAAGCATATACATATGTATGTATTTACATTGTACACAGTTTCAATTGCCCGGCAAAGATAACTCCTTTCAAGAAAGCTATTCGCTATACCCGTTACTCGTGTTGTGTAAACATTTAGTCCTTAATATACATAATACTATTTAAGAATGTATGTGTTTAGCCAATATAAGTAAGTATGTTTAATATTTCTAGTCAATTTATTACAAGAAGGTATATTTATATTAAGTTGTTTAGCTGAGTAACGGGTATCTAATAGTCGAGGCACTCGACTATAGCGTTCTCTCTTGTTTTCCTTCTATAAATGTCGTGATGTCGTTCAATGCCACCGGTGCCAAGAATTTGGACACACTAAAAATCAACTGCGTCAGATGTGGCCTACAACACGACTTCGAGGCCTGCTTAAAGGATGTTTATCCAGTCAAATGCGTAAACTGTGGCGGTAACCATACAGCTAGATATAAAAGCTGTCTAAAAAGAGTGCAGACGTGTTTTGCGCGAGCTCCGGAAAAAAACAGCTCAAAAGTGAAAAAAAAAATAACTAAAAATACTCGAGTGGTGTAATAAAACTAAGAAGTGCCACGAGTGATTCAAAAAATGAGCGTAGAAGCTCCCTAGACCAGAGAAACAGTTATATCTCTTATTTCTCAACCCGTGATACAGAAGTAGAAAGAACTTATTCAAAGAGCAACTCAGCCCTACTGACCATTGACAGTGCAAGAGCACGGTCTTGTTCTCCCGCCCTACTCACACCAACTCCCACTTCATGGAGCTTGCAGTGTAGAACCCCACCCCCAGCTTCGACTCACAGCTCACCAGCCTCGAGCACTGCGACCTCGTTAATTTCTGCAACCGCAGCCACTGCAATAACAACATCAACGGTCGCCGTTAACAACAACGGGATTTCGAATGCGTTTGCAACTTCTGCAGCGCCGAATAAAACTACAAAGCCAATTGTAAGTACGAGTGAAAATATCGGCAATATCAAACAACAACAAGTGGGTCCGGCTATACAGACTGGCATGGACCGTTACATCCAAATCAAACGGAAGCTAAGTCCGCAAAATAAAATGGTTGGAAATAAACCAAAACAAAATTGCCCTAATAAAGGCAGCGAATAAACAGGTGCATCTAGTAACAACAGATTCGGCCTATTGTCGGAAATTGATAATAATCAATCCGAATCTGGACAGGCTGTTCAAAAGAAACCAAAGCCCCCACCAATTTACATAAGGGAACAGAACTCAAATGCCCTAGTAAAGAAAATTATTGCGCTGGTCGGGAATGACAACTTTTATGTTACTCCTCTTGTTAAAGGGAATATTCATGAAACCAAGCTTCAAGCTAAAACTGAAGATCAATTCAGAGCTGTAACTAATTACCTAGACGAGGCTAGGAAACCCTACTACACGTACCAGCTCAAGAGTAGCAAGGGCTTGCAAGTAGTGCTAAAGGGCATAGAGCCCGACGTATCCACCAATGAGGTAAAAGAGGCACTGAAAGAAAAAAGATTCTTCTCCAAAAATATTATTAATATTATCAACAAAAAT